CTTAAAGTTAAGAATAAATTATATTTACTTTATAGCCTCTTATATTTCTTCTAGTAACTACTAAGATACTATTTATTATTAGTATTATTATAGCTTTCTAGAGTATAATATTTAATAAACTCTTATTAGCATCTACTATTATTTTCTAATACTAAATAATATTAAAATAGATACTTATTATATTAAGTATCTTAAGCTAATTTATAAAAATTAAGATTATTATATTAATTAAAACCTTAGTAATAATAACTAGTACTATAGCTTTTAAAATAAAATTAATAATAAGTAGGTATATTATATATACTAAACTTCTAGCTAAGACTAAACTTATATTAATAGATTCTTTTAAATATTTTTAAAGTTTATAATTTTCTTATATATCTTATACTAGTTATTAAAAAGTTATAAATAAAGAGTTTTAAACAGGAGCCTAATTCTAACTTACTACTATAACTCTAGTAAATAAAAAGGCCTAGAGTATCTTTACTAGAGGCATTAAGCTAGATTCAACTTTAGAATATATCCATTACAAGCAAGTTAAAGGCATAATAAAGTATACAGTTATAAATAATATTAGAAAGGATTAGTATAGCTTTTAAATTTATAAGCTAGTAAGAGTAAAGAGATTTAACGCCAAAATATACTGGAATTATAGGAGGGAAGTTATCTAATAGCTAAATAAGACCTTTAACTCTTTAAAAAGACACGCCTTAGTAATTATAACTATATTATAATCTGGCTTGAGAATGGGATACCAGCGCTGCCTAGAGGCGCCTATATTAGTAATCCATATTATAAAAATCAATATCGTTATGCCGTCGTCTAGGGGGGCCTAGTAAGATAGGCAGACTACTTGCTTAATACTATCCAAATTTATTAATCTTCCTTCTACTTATTGCCATATTATACAAGCACCTCAAATAGCTGCGCCCTCTGAGCCTTGGAGTTAGTCTGCCAGTCCCCCAGCTATTTAGAGTATTTAAACCCCTTCCTACCCCCTCTCCTCCTCTCCTCCTTTCTTATCCTTATCTATTAATTCTTACTTTCTTTAATCTTGCCTAACTATCTTACCACCTAACTAACCTATTACCCAACTAAGTAATTCTTAACAAGTAATAACTAACTACCTATTACTTATCCTAGCTAGTAATACTATTACTATTATAACTTTTAAATACTAGGTATATACTATTATAACTTAAAGAATCTAGTACTAATAATCTTAGCTTAATTATATTAATTTTAAAAGTAAATAACTTTAAGTTTCTATTAAAAATAATTAGCTCTAGTCTTATATTACTATTAATATCTAAGTTAATATATTAATCCTTCTACTCTAATATCTCATCTACTTTTACTTTTCTAATAACCTTCTTAAAAAGCTTATAAAGTATACTAATACTATTAATATCTTTCTTATATACTTAAGAAGCTAACTTACTTTTATACTCTATACTAATTATTATAAGAGCTATAATTATAATAGCAGTGCTATATCCTTTTTAAATTGTATCTTTCTTCTAACTTACTAGAGCTTTACTTATGCCTTTTATATTATATACTATTATATTATTAAGTACTCTTTTAATATTCTTTATACTAAGTACCTTAATTAATTTTAAGAGAAAATCTAGATTAGAATTAATAATCTTAATTTAATAGCTTTAAGATAGCTAGAATAAGAATATCTACTATTAACCTTTAATCTATATTATTCTTAAACTATCTAGTAATATTATTAATATTCTAAAAGTAATCTTGCCTATAAGTTAATATAGCTTATATAGAAGCCCTTCTTTATATTCCTACCTAATACCCCTAATATAAGACTCCTAGATAATTACCTAGATATTTCCATATTTAGCTATTTCTATCTAGAAGACTTAAAACTCTTAAATAAAAAGCTTTATACTAAGAAAAATATTATTATTATTAGTAGCATTAGTATTTTAACTAATATAAATAATAAGTCTTGCTTTTATTTTACTATTAGCAGCCTCTTTAAATTAAATTAAATAATTCCTAATTATTAAAGCTCCTTCTACTTAAAGAAATCCAGCTATATTATATATAATATATCAGTCTATTTTATATTAAAGTTAGTTAATATACTATATACTGATATCTTATAGAAGTTGTAATCTAGCTATAAAGTCCTATTTACCCCTTTTAATATCTTTACTAAGTGCCTAGCTAAGTCTAATTATCTTTAATATTATTATATATAGAATATTAATTATTGCTAAATTAGGCTCTTTTATCTCTTCTAGAGGATAGTATAACTTTATAGCTAGGCGGATATATTAATTTGCTACTTAAGATTTTTATATATTATATAGGTTACTTTATAATTCTTTTTATAATAGGTTTTAGCTTTTTACTTTTTATATAAAAAAGAGTAAAAAAAGTAGGTTATAATATATAAGTAAAGATAAGCTATAAAATTTTTCTAATTAAATATTCTTTTTTATAGTAAAAATTATTCTAGTAAAGATAAAATTATAGCTATATTTAACTATAATTTAATATAGCCTATTAATACTATTCTAATTATTAAAATAAGATTATTAATTTCTTTACTAGTAAATTTTACTAAGTATCTCTATAAGATAGTAAGAATAAAAAGCCTAGATAATTTAGTTATATAAATAAGTAAGAAGTTACTAAAGCTTAGAAAGAGCTTTTAGTTTCTTATTAGTTTTAAGTATCTTAGAGGTTATAACAATTTCGCTTTAATAATATCTATATAGATGGAGTTTTTATACTAATTAACTCTCTACCTACTAAATCCTTGCAAATTAAATTATTTAAGGTGGTATACTTATATAGATAAATCTATATATAGCAGCATCATAAAGTGTTAATAGATAATAATTTCTTGGGGGTTGGAGCAGGTATTAGTTTGCATTAGGGAAAAGATTGTAATTAGTCTATTAACTATATTTAGAATAGAGGTTAACAAACGTAGCTGCGTTGCTGTAGACAAAGCTGGCGTGTGCAATTCACTGTATAAAGCATATATGTGTGAGCTAGGTCTATGTGAGCTAGGACCCTTAAAGGCGGATTTCCATACGCCATCAGGACTTACCGCAGCCACAGTGGCTTACGCCTCCAAGCCGCGGGAAAGGCAGCGAGGTTTATCCGAGCGCGCACATAAAGATGTCACGTGCAATAGAACGTTCCAGAACCAGCAAGGATATGCTGTTCACTCCTACTCGTCTGAACCAGTCAACGCTCGAGCAGCCGCTGCTATTGAATAACCTCCAATGGGGTCTGCTCGACAATCCAGGATAGGCCCTTTTCTTTGGGGCAATGACGCAGTCTCACGTGCGATAAGTTGCTACTCGTAGCTGGAAAGATGACAGAAACGCAAGTGGTTGCTACAAGTAGCTGGAGCGGAGAGGTGACGGGAAAAGAGGGGCAAGTGGTTGCTACTAGTAGCTGGAGAGGTGACAGAAAGAGGGTTAAGTGGTTGCTACTAGCAGCTAGTAGCTGGGGAGATGACAGAAAGAGGGGCAGGCTTGCTACTCGTAGCTGGAGAGGTGTGCATGGGAACGGCGGTGAGGTTTATCCGATCCCGCGCATTATGGTGTGACGTGCGATAGAACGTTCCAGAACCGGGAATTTAGATGTTGTTCGCTCCTACTCGTCGGAACAACTCAACGCAGTCAGGCAACTCATCCCAGGACACCCAGAACCACTCGCCATGCAGGGAGAACGCCACGCAGTCAAGCGAGAGCGATTCGTCGTTAGCGCTCGCACCCTCGCATCCCTCGTCGAAGGTACAAGCAGAATAAAATACAGGAGACCGGCCCCCTACAGGGCCGCCAATGCCTTTCGGAACAGGCCTGAGAAGCAAGGCACTTGCCTTGTGAAAGGAAAGAGCCTGACACAAGCACTTGTCTTGTGAAAAAAGAACGATGCGGACAAGCACTGTCTTCCAGGTAGGTGGCGACGAAGCCCTGGGCAGGTATCGCCTAATGGCTTTGGGATCATAGTTAGGCAGTTGTGGGCATCCCTGCAGGTGTCTGTTTGAAGGGAAAGGAGGAAAGAAGGGAGTGTGGGCGTGGGTGCCACTCACTGACCTTTATAGGCGGTTGGGAGACTCTTGGCAGGTGACTACAGGCGCTGGTGGCGTCTGCGTGTGACCATTTTTTTGCCTTTCGGGGGTTTGAGACACTGCGCAAGGACTAATCTCATCATCGGTGACATATCGTGTTCATCTTGTCACTTTCTGTGTTGCGAGCAGGTGTGTACTCGAACGTGTTCGGATGTTGACTCAGAAGCCATATGAATTATGTTTATGGTTTCTAAGCTGAAATTGTTTAAGGACATTTGTCAGCTTATAAATGCTGCTTGAGACATGCCTCTAGAGCTACCTGCATCTCAAAGGCCCAAAAAGGCCCGAAACAAGGACCATGGCAACTATAAGGGCTGGAAGTTTGGAACGTTGTTGTCGCGACCCAACTTAGGTCCCCTGGGACTGTCCCTGAAGTAGGGCCCCATAACAAGAGCTAATAGTAGATCTTTTCGTCCCAACAGCAGTAGGAAATAGACAAGTACTATACACCCAGGGCCAGGTTCAAACTCTATAAACATTAACAGAGGTGGTCAATAGAATCCACTAAAGCAGTTAGCTGCGATAGGGACTGACTGTCTCAGATATATATAATTTGTTTTATTTCTAACCACAAGGTTTTTAGGTAATATAGATAGCTTCCAAAGCTATAAGGTGGCAGATGTTCTGGCCTAATAAGAGCCGAGAAATGCAGGCAGCCAGCAGCCTGCAGCCTCGTTGGCTAACCCCTCATCTGCCATGGTGCGGGTAAAGATAGCGAACTTCCACATTATACTGAAGCAAAATCACTCGTTTCGAATGCCTCATCACTATAGAGGGGCTCGGAGTGGCTGCCAGCTTGAGTCCCCTGAAAGGAGCGCAGTGTCTTGGGCGGGGGATGTTGAAGTCACGGCCGCGTCCTCATGCGAAAGCAACACCTTATCTAATTCGCCACACGGTGGATAACTGTGACCTCGAGCACAATGAAAACAACATAGCCAACCAACATAGCCACGCCAATCCAGCGGCAAAACCTGGCTCCAAACCAGACTGTCAGGGTTAAACCTAGCGTCGACCCCCAAAGAGCCACCAGTTCTGGCATCGTTACGTTGCCTCCATCCAGAGCACCCGTAGTGTCAACCATGATAATGCCAACACACAGCGACAGAAGGAATATGTTGCTGCCGACGCAATTCGCGACGAGAATGCCGGGGTGGCCGCGGTAGCCGCTCATGACAGCGATGAATTTCTCAGGTAGCGTGGTGGCGATGGCGAGGATGACAACGCCGAATAGAACGTCCGAGATGCCAAACTGGTCTGTGATATTTGCCGCTGCTTGGGAGAGGATGTAGCCGGCGAGACAGATGGCGATGAATCCGAATAGTAGGTAGAGGCCATGATACCCGAGAGTGTGGGGTCTGCGGCGCCGCGACGGAACAGGTTGAGGTGTGGCTTCTGGGTGGTGGCCTGGGCTAGCGGCTCTCACCTTTGGCACGCGAGGGTTGATGAGCGGATCTGTCTCTGTAGCCTCCGCTCTGCTCACGGCAATTCTTGCATCAGAACTGCTGTGGCGATCATTGTCAACGTCAGCGTCACTCTCTGCGTCGCTGTCGCTGTCGCTATCACTGTCGGAATCTTCGGGTGCCGTAAGGACCCCTCGGCCAATGGCCAGGCCTACGAGCAGAAGATAGATTCCAAACGTGGCGATGAGAACAGGACCGCACACCTCCCAGATGACATGCGTTGGAAAATAGAGAATTGGTATGACGAAGGTCGTCAGAACGAGTAGCACGAGCGAGTATATCCGCGCGCTCCTGTCAAATTGAGCCGCCCTCCCCGTCTCAAAGGATAGCAGGCCGAGCGAGAAGGCGCCCAAGATATTGGAGATGGCGGCGCCGATCACGTTGCCCATGGCTAGGGATGAGCGGCCCCGCGCCAGGGACGCGACAACAACCACCAGCTACGTTGCATTAGCGGCAGTCCGCAATAAAGTACGCTGAACGCTTACCTCTTCCCACTCCCCGCCGGCTGTGAGGAGCCCAACGACGGTCTCAGGAAGCCCCGTACGACGCGCAACTACAGCCGTGTGATCGATGAATTTATCGGCCCCAAACTCGAGGAGGAACAGGGCCGCCAGGAATGTGGCAACGTTGAAAACAATCACGTCAGCGTCCGCCATGGTAGAGGATGGGGATGGGTATCAGGATAACGATGAATGAAGATGGCTAAGAAGGCGGTTTGAGGTGAAGTGTGTCGAATGTCAAACTGGGAACCGCTTTTAAATATTTCTTCGAGCAGAGCGCGAGTCTTGACCGTCGTGGATGACGCGTTGGATGAGACAGGGTTGGCTAGCGGCGGCTGGGGTGGGGGAGCTAGGGGGAGTTGGGTTGCGTTTGGTAAAACGCCGGGCTGTTTCAACAGTTGAGTTGCCGTTAACCATATCTATCGCGGGGTATTTGTGTGGAAACAAACCTGATGCACTTCGGGGACGGCTTTCTCTGTTTGCGTGCAGCAGATTCAGACTGAGAACGTACACCTTCTATTAATAGATATCGCTATGAACTCTCACATTAGGTTTATCATTATAGAGAGAATAATGACCTGGAGCAGTCTGCTTGGGCCTCCTTCAAGACGCAGGACCCCGGATATATATGTTACTGATGCGGTTGTTAAACAACTAATACCCTGACTCGCTGCCAGCAGTCAATCTATATTGTCTTTTTCTTCCCGTATCTTTTCAGTTCAGCGCTGGCGCTGTTTATTTTATAAATCCCCCCTCCCCCCGAAACGCAGTCCAAGTCGAGCAGATGGCCTCTCTCCGGATGCCTCCAGCCAAACCCGGCATCTTTCGAACCACCTTGACTCGACTAGGCATTTCTCACGACTCCTCTGAGAAAGTCCAGGCTTCTATTGAAGCCGAAAGCCTCTCGGATGATGGGTCCATGTGGTCCAACGGGCCAGACAGGATCGAAGGCGAGAAAGACTTGGTGATAAAGGTGATCCATGCCGACGACGACCCTTCGCTCAATCCATGGACCTTCCGGATGTGGTTCATCGGTGAGTCCACTCCCAAATCGTCGGCGGCGTTACTGATATTCATTTTCGTAGGTATTGGCCTGGGCATCTTCGGTGCCATTATGGAGACGATCTACTTCTTTCGCCCCGTCACACTGGACGTGTCCAACATCTTCCTCGCCCTCTTGAGCTATATTTTCGGCACCTTCTTGGAGTGGGTTATTCCGAAAACAGGTTTCATCGGGCGGTGGTTCAATCCTCACCCGTTCAATATGAAGGAACACGCAGCCATGGTCGTAATCGCCTCGTCGGGGGCCCAGACTGCCCTAGCCGTCGAGGTCATTGCCGTCCAGAGGCTGTTCTACGACAGAGCGCCAAACGCCTTCATCTCCATCCTGCTCGTTGTCTCCTCGCAGTGTGTCGGGTATGGCTTTGCCGGATTACTGCGCCGAGTCTTAGTGTATCCCACCAAGATGGTATGGCCCAGCCTCCTGCCGATGAACACCTTGCTGGAGACACTCCATCGCGACCGCAGGGAAACAAGGGACCGCCTCCGCTTCTTTTGGTGGATCCTCATTGCCGCCTTCGTCTGGGAGGTCCTACCCGAGTACGTCATGCCGATTCTGACCGGTGTCAGCGTCTTTTGCTTGGCGAAGCAAGATAGTATGGTCTTCACCAACATCTTTGGCGGATCTAACGGCAACGAAGGACTTGGAGTGCTGTCGCTAGGGTTGGATTGGCAGTTTATCTCCAGCAAGCCGTTGTGGATGCCGCTCGCGACATTGACAAACAGCCTGGCTGGGTATATCATCTGCATCTTCTTGTTCCTCGGCGTCTACTACGGGAATGTATGGCAAGCTCGAGACTTTCCATTCCTCTCCCAGCTGCTGTTCTCTCAAAATTCGACGAGTTCCAACTACGTCGTGTATAACCAAACGGAAATCCTCAATGACGAAAATGTGCTGCTGCCGTCTGCACTGGAAACCGAGGGCATTCCTTTCTTTGCGGGGACTTATGCCATGTTCCTCTTTACGACCAACCTTGCTGTCACTGCAACCGTTAGTCATCTCTTGCTCTGGAACTGGGATGATCTCAAGACTGGGTACTCGTTCCTCTCGCCCAGCAGTCTTCGGCAGCTGCTCTCGCCACGGTCATGGAACCTGAGATTCTGGCAATCTCAAGACAACAGCAGCCGAGATATCGATGAGGAAAAAGATCCCCATTACCAACTAATGCTGGCATATCCTGAATGCCCTAGCTGGTGGTACGCCTGTATTCTCATTCTATCCGTCATCATGGGTGTCGTTGCCATATACGCAGCAAAGTCGACTCTTCCCTGGTACGGGTTCTTCACCAGCCTCGGTGTGGCTGGAACCTTTATCCTCTTTTTCGGCGCGCAGGTCGCACTTACGGGATACCAGGGGAACGTGCAGCCGATCGTGCAGATGATTGGGGGTTACCTCCATCCCGGCCAGCCGCTTGCAAACATGTACTTTACCCTCTTTGGGTACAACTCGGTCATTCAGGGCATCAGTATGGTGCAGGACTTGAAGTTTGGGCAGTACGCAAAGCTCCCGCCGAAAGCGACGTTCTACGCCCAAGTCATTGGTACTCTAGTTGGCGCTGTTGTTAATTATATCATGATGGTCGAAATCACCACCAACCAGAGAGACATTCTCTTGTCCATCCAGGGTACTAATATCTGGTCCGGTCAAAACATTCAGCAGTTCAATTCCCAAGTACGTCACCCACCCCTGCTGCTTATCATGGACTGAAACTAATCGCTTAGGCAATCGCATGGGGAGCTCTAGCCAAGGAAATGTTCTCCCCAGGCTCTCGCTATGGACTCGTACCCATCGGTCTGCTCCTCGGCTTCCTCCCGCCGCTCGTCTTCCATACACTTCATCGGGCATATCCGAGAATCGGCTTCTCCAAGATTAATACGCCCATTATCCTCGCCTACGCGGGAATTCTCAGCGTTGGGATCTCGTCCTCCATGCTTTCGTACTTTGCCATCGGCTTCGCGAGCCAATTCTGGCTCCGTCGATGGAAGCCAGACTGGTTCATAAAGTACAACTATGTCTTGGCGGCCGCGCTCGATGGTGGCACGCAGATTCTTGTATTTCTCCTCACGTACACCGTTTTGGGTGGCGTTGGCCCAGAAATCAAGTTTCCCAAGTACTGGGGCAACAATGCGGATGGAAATTTCAACTACTGCATAAGAGACCCGGGGGCTGGTTCTGTGGCCGCGGGCCTGATAGATCTAGACGGATAACTAAGCGGCACGAGAGGGGTAGTACAAGTCCAGGGAGGTACTACGAGGAAAAAAGAACATGCTACCGGTAGGAGCGAGTTGAGAACGAGAACAACCCGGACGGAACGGATTCTCAAGCTTATTATTACTTAACAGCAGTGAAGAAGCGAGGATATCGCGGCGCGGCGTGGACCGCGTGGCGCTGCGTCATTCTGGCAGGATTCAAGCACATTCATGGAACGGCCTTGTATCGATCTAGATCATCCTTGGCTAAGCATACCGTAGTTCCTGCCTCTTCTAGCAACTTTTTACCCCAGCGTCGAAGGACTTGTATCCGGGAGGTGCTTCCAGTGACTCAAGCCTTGCGAGTTCGTCTACTGTAACACCCTCGGCCGCAGTGCAACTTTGGAGGCAGAAAAATTAGAGTATAACTACTAAAAGTGGTTAGCCGAATCTAGCAGACATGTTTGAGGCGTTGAGAGCTGGCACAGCGGAATGTCCTTACGGCTTTGAAGTTCACTCTAGCATGGATAAGGCTAGTCAATGCTGCGATAGCCTCATGTTGCAGTCACCTGAAGCTTCTACCAGGACCCTTGGCTGTTTTTGTTGCCTTCTGACCAGTTCCGAGATTATAGTTCTTCGATTGTTGCCTCATTAAGAAGTTCCAACCTTTCCTCTACGGCGACTATGTAGTATAGCACCGTATTCGAGATATCCTGCGCGATTAGCCGCTTTGTTGGCGGCAATGCTACCTCGGTTAGGATTAGTTGTTTGATGTCCTGGATGTTTCGCAGGATCAAACAACGGTGCGACGAGTACTACCCCTTTGTTAGCTTGACTAAGCTGTTGGGCAGTCTGAGCGCCATCATTTCGGCCCTTGACTAGCTCAAGCGATAAGTTTTAGAGTTAATCAACGTAGTAAAAGGCTTGTGCTAGCGCAGCTAAAAAAAGAAAAAAGGATCAGGGGTCCGACGCTCTAGCACTCTTTCAGCGAGGAGGCTCATGATACACTGTCTCAAACGTCAGGGGATGACGGAACAGAATGGTGTAGTGGCTGGCTCATGCCTCGACGACAATTGGTAGCTCCTACTATCTATCCTCTGTGCGACTACAGTTGACTTTGGGTATTTTTAGACGTTGTATCGTTTCAAGCCTTGAAATAGCCCAAACATTACCGATAAGGCCGGGGACCCTTGTCAACTAGTGATATGATTTAGGCTGGTTACTATTGGCTAGTTGGGATTTTCGAACGGTGGCATGTCCCAAAGGTTGTTAACTTCCATACATGTTGGGTTGAGTATAAAAGGATGTAGTTTCTCTCGAGTTGGTACCCTCGATTTCACAATCAACTCAGATCAATCAACAGTCCGAGTCTTATCAGCACTCCACCATATTCTTTTCCCAATGCATCCCACATTTTTTCTCGCTGGCCTGGCTGCAGTCATTCCCGCCGCCTTGGCAGAAGAGCTCCGTGCAGACGATGTACCATCAGCATGCACAACTATCTGTCAGCCCATTGTTGATCTTACCAATACATGCGATATCGACCCCAACGAGACCGACAACGATAACAAAAGAAGGAAATTGCGCCTCCGCGAAAGCGACGAGTCTGGTGAAGAGGCTATCGAGGCAAACTGTATTTGTACGAATACCAGCTTCGACGTTGCTGCTGTGATGGCGCTCTGCGCGAGCTGCATGTCCCAAAATAGCCAGTCGACAGAAGGTATGGACTCCTAAAATAGCACGTTCGAGTATGGCTACATGTAGATAGCTAACAGTCAAGTAATAGATGTCGATAAGATCATGTCGCAATGCACTTTCACATCCACTTCATACGTGGCCTCGGCCACGGCCATAGTCTCAGGCATTCAGGTCAAGGCTACAAAGCCAGCTACGACTGGGGCTTCTGAATCTACTTCTACGAGTGGTGCGTCGTCGTCCACCGACTCCGCTACCGGTGGCGCTGAGAAGATGGCTGTGTCCATTATAGCTGCTGCAGGGGCCGGGTTAATATTCATGTTGCAATTGTAAAGAAGCTCCAGTAGGGTGTTAGGAATAGTGTCTTAGTGATGAATCAAATTGAATATGTTAGCGAGCCAACAGTATCTCTCTCCTAGTGGTAACGGTGTCATAGGAAGGGCCGTACCGATTTAAATGACATCACTAGTCACTAGCGCTCATCGACCTCTGTGTCTCTTGAGTCTTAAATAGTGCAATGAATTGGATTCGTGGCTTGAAGGCAAACAAGAGTCGGCTCATCACTAAGACACTATGTACTGCAGCCCAACTTCCAGCTTCTGGCCTTGCAGTGACGCTCCAATTGACCAATTTGCAGGGCACTGGCTAAGGTTGATAGCCAGGCATGCTGGGTTGTGGCGCTGTGTGGCTCAAAAAACAGTGGCGCAAAACAGTGGCGCAGCGAACGTGGCGCGAGGATCCAGGCGAAGTTCAGAGGCGCGGGAGTTAGTGGTGCAGGCGTTGAGCATTGAGCACGGATCGCTTTGTGACCCGAGCTTACGAAAGGAGGGCGCGGAAGAAAGAACCTTTCGTTCCGAAAGGCATACAAATCACAGGAGACCGGTCCCCTACGGGGTCCGCCAATGCCTTTCGGAACAGGCCTGAGAAGCAAGGCGCTTGCCTTGTGAAAGTGAAAGAAAGAAAGAGCCTGACACTTGCCTTGTGAAAGTGAAAGAAAGAGCCTGACACAACCCGGCATACGATCAAATGGGATAAAAGACTCGAACTGATTCGTGTGATGATATCGTGGCGCCCGTTTCCAGGTCACGCGGTTTATAACTTCCGTCGCAGTCAGACCTTGATGAGCCGGGTGCCCATATCTCACGTGACGGCACCGCAAGCCATGGCGTTCGCCAGGTGAGGCTTACGAGGCGCTAGGCGCTGGATCTGATGAACTTGGCAGCTCTGGCGAGGCGCGAAGGGAGTCAGTCCTCTTGGTCCTTGGGCAGAAGCTGTGTTGACAAAAGCTTTGAGCGGCTCGACAAGTAGTGGCGCAAAGCTTTGTGGGGCAACGCGCCAACCGCCCCAAAGATGGGCATGGGTTGTGTGGTATTTGGTGGCGCGAGGATCTGTGGTTGAGTTGGCACGGATCGTTTAGTGGCTCGAGCTCACGAAGGAGGGCGCGGAAGAAGGAACCTTGCGTTCCGAAAGGCATTACCGTAGAAACTCAGTTAACTCTCACAAGTAGCGCCTCCACTTTATCTCCATATTTCCACTGTTAACCGCAAAAATTCGCAGAAGTGTCCAAAAGCAGCTGATCCCATTTGTCGCCCTGTGTTTTTATGGGGGCCGCTACTTGTGCGAGATAACTGAGTTTCCACGGTAGTCCTCCTCAATGCACGCTCTTCTCAGACTGGGCACGGACCATTTTCTCCCACATACTCTAATGTGCCCAATGAGTACATGCTTACGGCCAGAATTGTCCCAAATTCCATACATACACGGTTTTAGAGAGGTATCCCAAGGTAGATATAAGTATATAGGGACTCGGGAAATCCACGTGAACTCTCCCCTCTTCTCCGGTGGAGTGTGATTCGCGCGTTCCCAAGGGAAAAGTAAGATGTCAGCTGCCCGCTCTCCTCGTTCTTGCCTGCTTGCTTAGCCTTTAAAGAGCCCCTGCGGGGAAGCATTTCCAACTAAGCTCTTCCAGCTTACATCAACACAACACTCGCCACAAATCCAAACCAAGAGCCATCAACGACAACATTCGACACCAAGTTTTTCGAGATCTTCATCATCATGGGTGACTGCGGATGCTCCTCCACTAGCTCCTGCGGCTGCGGGTCTGGTTGCACGTGCTCTAACTGCACGTGCTCTAGCTGCCCCGTAGGTCATGCCTCCCTCTCCTTGCCTTAGCCTAGCGTGGTTTTCGATCTGGGGTTCTGAAGATGATGGATGCTAACGACTATCAAATAAGCACAAATAAATCATCGCATCCTCAGCGATGAGATTCTTAAGGGACGATGACTAGGGCAACGGCGCGAACTTGTTTAGGGGATGAATTCACTCGTTATTACGGATACGGCCTGTGTGGGACCAGACTTCTTAGAATGACAGCTTTCAGTTAAGGAAAGGGTAATGAATCAGATTAGGGTCTTGTGGATGCTAAGGTGTATGCTGCGTGATTGGGATATTGATTGGTGATATTCTATTAATTCAAGACTAAGATGAAGTTTGAACATAACCAGAGACTAGAACAGGTCAAACAATCCTCAAGCCATGTCCGCAATCTCATCCGTAATCTGCTTGACTCGAAAGCCCAGCCCTGGGATCGGGCTCCTCAGCGCCAGTGAGCTAGTCACGACCGAGATGCTGCTCAGCGCCATAGCCAGGCTGGCCCAGACGGGGTCGAGGCGCACGTGTTGACCATTGTTTGCAATGGGGTACAAGCATCCGGCGGCGATTGGGATGGCGATGTTGTACACGACGGCCCAGGCGAAGTTGACCTTGATGCGTCCCAGGATGGCGCGCGAGAGGCCCAGGAGGTTGAGCACGCCGCGCAGGTCCGCGAGCAGCAGCACAAAGTCGGCGGCGCCTAGCGCCACGTCGGCGCCGGACTCCATAGCCACGCCCACGTCGGCAGCCGTCAGCGCGGGCGCGTCGTTGACTCCGTCGCCCACCATGGCAATGACAGGGACGCGGCGCGGCGCCCCGGACCCACCCCCGGCCTCGGTTCCTCGGCGGAGCCGTTCCAGCGCCGCCGCCTTTTGTGTCGGCAGCATGCCGGCGACGACGCGATCAGCCCGGATGCCCACGCGAGCCGCGACGGCCGACGCCGTCAGTACGTTGTCTCCGGACAGGAGCCACACGGCCACGCCCCGCGCGTGCAGCGCACGCACGACGGCGGGCGCCTCGGGGCGGATCGGGTCGGAGATGGCAAAGGCGGCAGCGAGCACGTGCGGTGTTGGGTGATTCAGAGGGTCACTAGTCCCCGGAGAGGGCATTCTCTTGTAGGCGACCAGGGCAATGGATTTTGCCTCCGTTTTCCACCTCTCCAGTATTGTGCTGACGGCCTGCGGAATGTCTACGCTGAAATCTGCCAGGAGAGCCTCGCTGCCGACAAGAACCTCGAACTGGGTGTCGGGAGCGGCGGCTAAACTCAAGCAGGTTGCTACCATACCTTTACCAGGGATTTCGTTAAGATTGTCAATAATCACACTGCCAGAAGCCTCCGACGCACTGTAGACAGCGACAGCCTTAGCAATGGGATAGGTGCTGTTCTCCTCGACGGCTTTGACGGCCGCAAGCAGGGTAGCCTTCCAAGCATCGTCGCCGTCAACGTAGAACTCCGCGTCCGTAATGCTCGGTTCACCGCCGAGAGTTAGCATACCCGTCTTGTCGAACATAACAGTATCGACCTTGCTGGCCTTCTCGAACGCCTCGCCGCCCCCTTTGGCGAGGATGCCATAGCGTGCGGCCAGGCCACCACCCACAAAAACCGCCGTAGGAGCCGCGAGGGCCAGGCCGCACAGGCAAGCAACAACAAACACAGCTATGGCAAACTGCAGTAACCAGGCCACCCAGCCACCAGACGTCACATCGAGCCAGTCGACAGGCAGACAGCCAGCCCAGCCAAGCAACATCCACGTCAGCCAGGTCAGGATAGCTGTCAGCATAATAGCCGGTACAAAATAGGCTGTCATGACATCGGCAATCTGCTCCACCAGAGCGCGCTTCGTCTGCCCTTCTCGCACAGCATCCACAATCTGGTCCAGCATCGAACGGCCAGCAACCCCAGTAATGCGGACGAGCACAGGGGCACCCTTGTTGACCGTACCGGAGAAGATATAGTCGTGGGCCCGTTTGCGCACCGGCCGCGACTCGCCAGTAAGCAAGGACTCGTCAAAGGTACTATCGCCGCGGACAAGAATGCCGTCACCGGGCGGGGATCCGCCGTGCAGCACGCAGACCAGGTCGCCCAAGTCGAGCAGGTCAGCCTGGACGACGGAGACCTTCTCGTCCCCATCCTCGCCGTCATTCAGCCGTTCAACGAGCATCGCCGTCGTCGGGCAGAGCTTGCCCAGCATCTCAACAGCGTCACCAGCCCTTGCCTTACTAAGAGATTCAATCACGCGCCCCAGCAGGATAAAGAAGGTAAGGAAGACAACCAAGTCGAAGTAGAGATCCGCGTTGCTAAGCTCAGTCGTATGATTCACACCGGCCGCGATCAACTAAGCAACGGAGGCTACATACGCGATGGTGGTTCCCAGTGACATAAGCGTATTCATGCTACCGAAGCGGTAGAAGCGCTGAAGCACCGGTGTGCAGCTTCCGCACCGCCATAAAGCGCGGATCTCCTTAATAGCCTTGGCATGGAATGCGTCTGCGGCGCAAAAGTACACGGGCGTCGCCAGAGCCAAGAGCGCAAACTGCCCCCGGCCAATGCCCGACACCAGCGGCGCCATCAGGTAGCTCTTCCCGGCGTTGGAGTCCAACAGGAGGTTCATATACACGATGCTAATCACAAAGGTCGGGATGCAGATAACGGCTGTTAAGATCACACAGTACAGCAGCTGCCGCTGGTAGCAGCGCCTAATCTGCCGCGAGCGCTCCTCAATGGTCGGCGCATAGTACACAGACGCTCTAATAGCCTCGTCGCTTGCCTCGATGGCCTCGATGATGCGCCATACCGTAAAGCCCGGCGCATCGGGCAGGTAGCGCACTTATATGACAGGATTCTGTACCGAGGTGGGCATACCGACAATGGCAAGCTGCCGCCGGAATCCAGCTAGGCTGCGGGCCACGCGGGACGGACATTTAGGACAGTAGATGCCGTCTAGCTTGATATCGACAATGCGCTCCTCGGTGGCGACGATTCCCTGCTCGTCAAGGTTGGTGACGTTATCCACGGTCGCCTCGTAGCCCAAGTCTTCAATAGCCTCGACAATCTGCAGCACCCAAGCATTGCCGCCGTCGAACGTAACCATCGCGCTATTCGACACAAGGCTCACCACTGCGTCCAGAACCCCCTCCAGCCAGCCCAACTCGTCCGTAATGGCATTGACGCAGACGGCACATATCATACCGCGGACCGCGAGCGTTGCTCTCCGTCTGCCCTCTAGAATCACCTCTCCGGTAGTCCCCGCGATGACAAGGTGTTTCGAGGAGGCTTTTGCCGCTCCCTCGGCCTCGCTAGTCCTGTTCAGGGCCGTCGAGGTCGAGGGCTATAGTGCAGCTAACATATCCACCTCGACCGCAGGCGTCTCTCCGTTCCGCTTCGACAGCTGACACTTCTTGCAACTCTGGAGATAAACCTTGGCCCGCTGCTCCCAGTCGGCCGCAGACTGGCCGGAGGCAGCAGAGCAGGCAGTCCACGCAACCAAGTTGAAGGTGTGCCAGGATTCATCTTCTGCGGTTTCCGCCGCCCCAGGGTCTTGCTGCCCCGTTGCAGCAGGCGTACTAGGAGAGGTGGCCATAGCAGACACTTCGAATCCGAACTCTTCCAGCACCGATTTCATATCGGTGCTAGAGGCGACCGCACCATACTCAACGGTGACTACTGAGGTAACAAGATTCAGCGAGATCCAGCTGATGTAGCGGATAAATAACTTCTACAGCACTTTGCGTATAGTCGGAATACAACTAGGACAATGAAAGTTGGAGATGAGGAGAGAGGTAATCAGAGCCCCAGAAGGACCGCAACCTGGCTGGGTTGCGGGCGACATGGTTGCAGATCGCCTGGTTGCAACTCTTATCTAGGCGAACGACGTTATCGCGCGAAACCTTCGAGCTCCAAGAAGGGCTTCTCAGTGACAGTGGCGATAATTGTTGGATTATGTAGACTCCATGCCTCTCTCGTCTTGCCAGATCCTGTTGTGGAGGTCGTGATTACAAAAACACCCGCAAACTTGCTCAGCAAATCCACGCTCCGTAGCGCATAAAATTGATCGTGGTGGTCCGTGCAAGACCTGGCACCAGTGTCGAACGAAATTGGGCTGTGGCTTGTTGCTATGGCTGAGGTGGCTTTCCATCGTGGCGAAGCCAAGGTGGCGCGGGAATTGTGGTGCAGCCAGTGAGCACAGATCGTCTGGTGGCCCGAGCTTACCAAGGTAGGCGCGAAAGAGGGCACGGAAGGAAGAACCTTTCGGAACAAGTTCCTCAAGGCATTAGCGGGTAAATGGAATTTTACCAGTCATTCTGGCCTTCACCTGGTCGATACCTGGAAGTTTACTGGTCAACATGGCCTTCATACCGGGAAATTTACCAGTCAACATGAACTTCACCCGATACTCCCCCGACACAGGAGACCGGTCCCCTCCGGGGCCCGCCAATGCCTTTCGGAACGAGGGTGAGAAAAGTGGCGCGGCGAGTGGCGCGGCGATTGTGGTGCAGCTCGAGGCTGAGAGAAGTGGGGCGGGGATTTGTGGTGCAGCTCGCACGGACCGCTTGGTGAACGGAGTTTACGAAGGAGGGCGCGGAAGAAGGAACCTTTCGTTCCGAAAGGCACATGTTGTATCTAGACCCGACCCATACCATAGCCGTATCTGACTTCTTTCCTCAATAAAGCTCCTACGTAAGCTATCGATGCAAGTGGCTGGTTTCCATTCCTTGTCAATTGACATTCGCAATCAACTATCTCTCCGCCAACACCTTTGGATCTCGTCGGGCCTCCCGAAGGATCTCCTTCATCCGAGCGTATAATCCTTTGTCCTCTCTTTCCCACCTCCCGCCATTCGGAAACACTACTTTCCGTAGCCTGTTGACCCAAGGTGTCAATGGTTGGTAATAGGAAGTGAAATTCTCCTCCGCGGTCCTAATAAAATCCCCTTCATGGGATACTTGCCCTTTTTTTCAGTTTTGCCAGCTCCCCCATATCCCAACATCCATCTTTCGTTTTCCTATAGAACCATCAATCGGCTCGTTGGGTTTTGCTAGTGGTCTTCGTTGACGTGTCGGGATTGACTTGCTGCCCTCTGCAAATGCCGCCAGCTTCTCGCTAAAGTCTGCAAACCAGCTCAGCACATCTTCCTGCTTTGCATCTTCTGGCCATCCCCTCCAGCCGTCATCAAAGAGTAGGTTGCTGCCTTCCTGGCACTGCCTGAAGAACGCCTCAGATTCCGTCTCAAGGTCGGCCATGTCTCCGAAGTATGTCTCGTGGAAGTTGCGGAGCCCGACACACATTGGGCCAAGCTCCTCCTTCGGCACATCATCCACATACTTGCGATGTTCGGACGAGTTCGCGAAGCTGCTGGTATTGCGCAGCCAAGGGGTTTGTTGAATGGAGGAAGCTACCGGTCGGGGAGGCGGGGTGGATTCGGTGACGGCGTCATAAACTTGACGCCAGATGAGCATCGTCTAGGTCGTTGGCGAGGGCTGATCTCAGGAGAGGTCTGATTTGGTCGAGGTCAAAGTCGTCAGAGTTGACAGCAGTATTGAGCCTTGACAAGTCGCCCAGGAGATTCTTGCCACTGCCGCTGGAACGAAGTAGCCGAGATATTCGGAGGCTTTGAAGTGCAAGAAGAAGGTCGATGATGAGATTCTGGAGATCTATGCGATGATTATACGTGGATGCTTGAAAACAAATAGTGTGCTACCACCACTTACCAACTTAACGCGTCTAGCGCGTCTGAAATGCAAGGGATGTCTGCGCCTTCGCATATGGAATTGAAAGTCTTGCGGAAGGTATCAAGACCATTCCCAATAGGATTGTCCTCGATGATCTTTGATTGCGGATGACCCGCCATGGCGAAAGTGACATGGCGAATGTAATGCTTCCAAAACGTGGCAGATGGACGGGATCAGAGGTGTTTCGCGTCGTTTGGCGTTGTGCGGAAGTTTCCGCCCAGCCACTAGACCCACCAGGCTGAGCCACCGCCGGAAAAGCTCTGTTCCACAATCGTTACTTGGCAGTCGGGCTAATCGACTAATCATGTCGGACAGGGAGTCGGCCCGGCCGATGACTAAGAAAGAGGGGTCGAGCATCAAGGCCTTGAGACAGAGTCATCATCATCACAACACAGAGGAGTGATAACAGCCGAATTAGGGCTGGGAACCATCATCAATTGCAATAGCCTATTTGGGCCCTCAATATCGTCATTTTCCCTGTGTTGCAACGCATATCAATTCAGGCCGTTAGACCGATCTGCCCCGGCCACATGTCTGACAAATCAGCTAGTCACGTGCGTTCGTGCAGAGTGACTTAATCGGGCGATGCATTTTAATGTTTTGTTGGATTGTGACCCTGTATTACGAAACCTCTGATAGATCGATATCCTGACCTTAGTCAGAGGGGGCGTGAGATGACATAAAACCCCTCTGGAGAAAAGAGGGGGCCGGAGGGATCCTAGATCAAGACAATCATCATCTTTGGTCTCCACACCCGAACACTTATCCCTTGATCGAATGTGACGTACCTTATCCAACATGTTTTCGAAATATTGAACTGAGCATATCTTTGGGGAACTTATCGATAGGCTAGCCCTTTTGAGTGGCCTGCATGCGGTCGGGTAAACCATTCGTCGCTCCCCACCGTCGATCACACCGCTATCTTTCATACATATCTCGCCTGCTTGCAATCATGGCATATTCACAGTATTCTGTAGAGGATGAAATCTCCATTTTCTTTGCAAAAACGTCCACGACTCGTCCAGATTGCGATGTGCGCGCAGAGGAGCTTGTTAGTGGCAAGGCTACTCGTGTCGACGTTTAAGGCAACTGCAGCTACTCCGTTTATACCGGGCTATCTCTTAAGTATATTATTCAGTTCTGATTAAAGTTTTTATAGCTTGATATAGAGATTACTTCTCTGGTAAGATAGGTATATAGATCTTTAGTTCTAATTGTTTTATTTAAGGGCTAAGTAGGGGATAAATTAAATAGTAAGGAATCTCTTTATATATATATTATAAGCTAAATTAAGAGTATAATCTATTTGGATTTTATTTTGATATATAATTATTCTAATAATTTACTAGAGAATTTTATATAATATTAAAGATTAATAGTAGATATAGTATAATAAGAGAGATAGCTAACTAAGTAATATTTTTACTTTTTTAATATTAATAGCTATAGATTTTTTACTTTTATATGGAAAGTATTATAGCTAGTTAATTAAGCTTATTATATAAAAATTAAAGAGATATATTAAAAAGAATTATAGATATTACTTAAAATACTCCCAGTTTAATTATATTTTATTATCTAGAAGTATATAGACTTAATAGATATTATATTCTTATTTTTTATAGTTTTTTTTAATAGAGATTTTAATATCTATAATATTATTATTAATAAGGTAACTTACTATCTAATTAGAATTATTAACTAAGCTAAGATAGAAATCTATCTCTTTAATATTATTAAAGACTAAATAAATATATAAATATATATCTTTAACCTTAAGAATTAAATTTTAATTAATTCTATAAATAAATACAATATAATATTAATAGTACTATTTATAATATATTAATAGCACTAAAATACAGTATAAATATAATATTAATTATACTATTTATACTATATAGAAAAGATAATAGCCCTACTTATATTTAGAATCATTTTTAATTCCAAATTATTTTAACTTACAATCTGGATACTTTAGAAAGTATAAGTATTTTAGGTATAAAGTTTATACTAGAAAAAGGCTGCTTTTTTAGGCTTTTTTATAGTATATAATATATCTCTATATCTTTAATAATTTCAAATTAACTACCTTTAATTTTAAAGTAGAAACTTAATTTTAAAGTAGAATTACTTAGAATCCTCTAAATATTAGATAATAATAATAATACCACTAAAAAGCCGCTTTTTAGGGCTTTTTAATAGTATACTTATTATTTAGCTATAATAGCTAGATTTTAAGAAATTATCTATAAAAAGCTAGAGACCCTCTAGTAAATTCTAAACTTATATATATTATAATTATTAGTATAATATATACTATTATACATTATTATATACTATTTTATACTATTATTCCTTATCTCTTATCTTATCCCTTATCTATATATTTTTTATAAGAATATCTTTTTGTTTATAATTTATTTTATTTTTCTACTGCTATATAACCTCTTATAGAAATATAATAAGATTAACTTTAGAGTATAATTATATTTCTTGCTAATTTATCTTAGTAACTATAAAATATTCTTAAACTCTTTCTTATATAACTTAACTTATAATACTGCTATATATTTAACTCTTAATTTAACTTAGTTTTTATTAGAAATTATATAGTAGTAGAAGAATAGAATAAATTATAGATAAAAGGATATTCTTATAAAAAATATATAGATAAGAGATAAGATAAGAAATAAGGGATAATAGTGTAAAATAGTATATAATAGTATATAATAGTATATATTATACTAATAATTATATTATATAAAAGTTTAGAATTTACTAGAGAGTATCTAGCTTTTTATAGACAATTTCTCAAAATCTAGCTATTATAGCTAGATAATAAGTATACTATTAAAAAGCCTAAAAAAGCGGCTTTTTAGTGGTACTATTATTATTATCTAATATTTAGAGGATTCTAAGTAATTCTACTTTAAAATTAAGTTTTTACTTTAAAATTAAAGGTGGTTTAATTTGAAATTATTAAAAATATAGAGATATATTATATACTATAAAAAAGCCTAAAAAAGCAGCCTTTTTCTAGTATAAACTTTATACCTAAAATACTTATACTTTCTGAAGTATCCGGATTATAAGTTAAAATAATTTGAAATTAAAAATAATTCCAAATATAAGTGGGGCTATTATCTTTTTTATATAGTATAAATAGTATAATTAAAAGTGTATTTATATTATATTTTAATGCTATTTATATAGTATAAATAGTACTATTAATACTATATTATATTTATTTATAGAATTAATTAAGATTTAATTCTTAAGGTTAAAGATATATATTTATATATTTATTTAGTCTTTAATATATTTAATAATATACTTAAAATTATATAAGCTTAGCTAGTTAATTTAAATTTAAGTTACTATTAAATTTTTAAAAGATAATTACTTTAGCTTTTAATAGTTATTATAGATATTTTTTTATTTAAAAAAGAATAATTAATTAAATATATCTTAAAAAATCTTATTTATTTTATAAATAATAAGAGATTAATATTTAAAAAGTAATTTTTTAAGTTAATATTATTATATAATCTACTTATAATATATAATATATACTAATAAATTATTAAAAAAACTATAATTATATTAACAGTTAATTACTTTATAAATCTATTTTTAATTAAGCTTCTTAGAGGTTTTTATAGTAATTTTAAATAAATAGTTAGTTTTTATAATAGCTATTTATTAAAAATTAGTAATAATAGAAAAATAACTATTTCTATAATTATAGATAAATATAATATAATTAAATTAACTTATTAAGTTAACTATTTAATCTAGAAAAATAAATTATTATTTAATTTATTCTTAACTTAAATTTATAAGAATTTCCCCTATAATTTTATAATATTAAAAAATAGCTAATTAATTACTTACTAATTATAATATATTATTTAAAACTTTTACATACAAAACTAAAATTATTAAAATCTTAGTAATTTCTTACTTAAAATCCAATTTAATATCAAAATTAAAATCAGTATAAAAATCTACTCAGGTTACAATACTACAATAGCAGCTATAAAATACTACTAAGATAGAAAAGCTAATAGCAGTAAATTTAAATTATACTAGCCTTAAAATAGCAGCTTCTACTCTAATATAAATACCTTCTAGTATAGGTAATATTAATAAGATAATATTATAATAGCCTCGCTAAATAAAGAAATAACTATAAGAAATACTAATAAAAAGAAGATACTTAAAAAATTATCTAGTCTTATTTAGAAGGAAATTCTAAATAAAATATAGAGAGTTATCTATACCCTTATTAATATAAAGATTCCATATTACTATAGCAATACTACTAAGACTATCCTAATATACTTTAAACTTAAAGAAATAATCTATAAAGTTATATATAAAGCTATTTAAGATACCTAAACTGCTCCGATATATAGCTATAGCAATTATAAGCTAAAGTTACATTAACTAAATATAATACCTACTACCCCTTTTAAAGTCCGTTTCTATTTAATATAACTGTAAAGTTATAGTAAAGTAAAATAACCCCCCGATAAGATATATATATATACCCCTACTAAAACTATAATAGTAGTTAACTTAGCTATTAGAGAGCTAAAAGCTATAGTAGCAGCCTAC